CTGGAAAGAACCAGCTCTGGCCCAGATACACCCCAGGACAGCCAAGGACCCACAGGCCCACCCTCCTCCTGCCCTGGCTCTGGCAGGCCAAGCAGGGACCCTCCGGCGTGCTCTCTGCCAGAAGATATGCCATTTTAAAAGAGCATTTTGGTCTCTGAGCTATTGGTTTTCCTGTGAGCACCTTCCTCCCCTCTCATCATTGATCTCGACGCCTGCAGAGCTGCCTGTTGCCCACATCCTGTTTTTGATCGCGGCCATGAACACGTCATGTTGTCGTGTTGTAGCAACCAGAGGACTCTGTCACCGCCACTGGGGGAGCATGAGCACCATTTATTTGCTCTTTTTTAAGGTCTTAGGTGCTTCTGTTGGGTGTCCAGGCTAGCTCAGCCTTTCCACAATAAAAGCAAGCACCTGTCTTGGATGCCCCCTCCCTGGAAGTGCTCAAGGCCAAGCTCCAACAGTCAGACATGTTGGGCTGGGAATATTTTCTCTATGGACACAAACTTGGCCATCATTCTGGCATCTGGAGCCCAGTGTCCTCATGGCAACACAGGACAGAGCTCAAGGTCCCTTTCCAAGAGCTGGAGCTGTTTGTTCTCTGTGGGCACTATAACAACCTTCACCAAGTTTTCTGGCTATTGTGCCCACAGCTGCTTTTGGACACCAGTGCATCTGCCTTTAACTCCACAGTTGGTCCATAAATAAAGAATCTCTACTCTTTTTTATTCCTTTCAGATGCTGTTATTGGCAAAGAAAAGTAAAACTCTATCTTGAGACAGAAAATCACAGGCAAAAAACTTGATGTCCAGCACCGAGCTCCAGAGCCCAGAGCAGCACCTGAGATCCCCAGCCTGGGCTGACGACTGTCGTTGGCTCTGAGCAGGTCTCAGAGCAAAGCCCACCTCCGGGATGAACGAATGGCTGAGGGTCTCATGGGCTGAACTGCTGCTCTGTGGTTCTGCAGCACGGACAAAACATCATTCCCTCATCTACAGACCTTGTGAGCTGCTGTCCTGACCACCTTCCAGCCCTCCTGGAGACTTGCCATATTACCATCTCCTTAATCCTTTTAAGAGAATTTACAGAGCCAGCACAGATTCTCCTGGCTTAGCAATGCTCATTAATTAGAGGGGTATTGGGAACAGGGTGTTTTTACTTGGGGTTCATCTCGGAGGGAAGCTATTTGGTTTAGCCTGAGGTTTCTGAAGAGACCAGGAAATCCTGCTGCAGCAGTACCGAGCGGTAAACAACCGCGTGGTCTGCTTGGTCAAGAGACGAATGAGTCACACAAGGTATTTAAATTACATTTTAAATTCTTCCAATTGTATTTGAAAAATGTAATTAGACTGCTTGGGCTGAACAAACAGCCTCTTTTTGTGGTGTCTGAGAGGGAAATAATTCTCTTTTTCTTCACATCTATGCCCGTATTTATTAAATCACTTCATATGAGCTACCAAGTTAATGCCAGTGCCTGAAGTCCCTGCTCCTGAGGAAATGTGAACAGGTAATGATCTTCCTGCCAATGAGCAGTGGGGACATCAGCCCAAGGGGCATCTCTGCAGCCTGAGGAACGGGGTCCGGGGCACAGCCCACCAAGGGGGTCCCCAGGGTGTGACCTGTCACCATATCTAGGCACTGAACAGTCCTCCTTGTCCCTGCAGGACAATCTTCCTCATCCCTGCAGGAAAATCCTGCTCATCCCTGCAGGACAATCTCCTCATCCCTGCAGGACAATGCTCCTCATCCCTGCAGGACAATGCTCCTCGTCCCTGCAGGACAATCTCCCCGTCCCCACAGGACAATCTCCTCATCCCTGCGGGACAATCTCCTCATCCCTGCAGGACAATCCTCCTTGTCCCCACAGGACAATGCTCCTCATCCCTGCAGGACAATCTCCCCGTCCCTGCAGGACAATCCTCCTGGTCCCCACAGGACAATCTCCCCATCCCTGCAGGACAATCCTCCTCGTCCCCACAGGACAATCCTCCTTGTCCCCACAGGACAATCTCTTCATCCCTGCAGGACAATCTCCTCATCCCCACAGGACAATGCTCCTCATCCCCACAGGACCATCCTCTGCCTTCACTTCTCTCACCTTAGAGCTCAGTCCAACCCGAGCTGTACGGTTACATCATTGTAAGCAGATGAGTGTTTTCTGAAATCTGGTAAAACTCCGGCCAGGCCACTCGAGCACCATGTCCTCCAGGGCCGTGGTCACAGCCCAGCTCTCCCGTGGTTCTTCCTGAGCCAACAGGGTGCAGAAGCTGTTGGTTGTGGCGAGGCGGGTGGGCACTGTGGAGCCAAGTTCCGTGACACGGGCAGCAGACCACGGTCCACGCTGGGAAGCAGGAGCCGTGCAGAGACCCGCTGCACTTTGCAGGGTGCCTGGCACTGGCACCATCCCCATGGCAGCCACTGCCACCAGCCCCACGCCTCCCTCCCAAACCACACAGACCCACACTCCTCACCCCTTTTCCCCAGGGAACACTCTCTTGACAGGGCTACCAGCCTGTGTGTTCCTCTGCCCAATGCTGCTGGTGCT